AAAGGTTCCAGATCAGGTGAAAGGTTCCAGATCAAGTGAATGGTTCCAGATCAGGTGAAAGGGTCCAGATCAGGTGAAAGGTTCTAGATCAGGTGAAAGGTTCCAGATCAAGTGAAAGGTTCCAGATCAGGTGAATGGTTCCAGATCAGGTGAAAGGGTCCAGATCAGGTGAAAGGTTCTAGATCAGGTGAAAGGTTCTAGTTCAGGTGAAAGGTTCCAGATCAGGTGAAAGGTTCCAGATCAGGTAAAACTCTGAGTCCCAAAGAAACTTAAAGATGGGTCTAAAAAAGGTTCTAGATCAAGTGAAAGGTTAGAAATCAGGTGAAAGGTTCCAGATCAGGTAAAAGGTTCCAGATCAGGTGAAAGGTTCTAGATCAGGTGAAAGGTTCTAGATCAGGTGAAAGGTTCTAGTTCAGGTGAAAGGTTCTAGTTCAGGTGAAAGGTTCCAGATCAGATAAAAGGTTCCAGATCAGATAAAAGGTTCTAGATCAGGTGAAAGGTTCCAGATCAGGTGTAAAGTTCTAGATCAGGTGAAAGGTTCCAGATCAGGTGTAAAGTTCTAGATCAGGTGAAAGGTTCCAGTTCAGGTAAAAGGTTCCAGATCAGGTGAAAAGTTTCCAGATCAGGTGAAAAGATTCTAGATCAGGTGCAAGGTTCCAGATCAGGTGCAAGGTTCCAGATCAGGTGCAAGGTTCCAGATCAGGTGCAAGGTTCCAGATCAGGTGAAAAGGTTCCAGTTCAGGTGAAAAGGTTCCAGATCAGGTGAAAATGTTCCAGATCAGGTGAAAAGGTTCCAGATCAGGTGAAAATGTTCCAGATCAGGTGAAAATGTTCCAGATCAGGTGAAAGGTTCCAGATCAGGTACTGTTAACTCCAGCCCGGTGTGTCCGGTTCTGTTTCTCAGGAGCGGGCCGGCGTGAAGATGATGATGATCCAGGACGGCCCGATGCCGACAGGAGCCGACAAACCGCTCCGCATCTCTGGAGATCCCTACAAAGTCCAGGTACAGACGGTTCTACTGGGTTTATTATCAGCAGAACTTTGAATAACGTCTGTGTGAGGAGTTGTGGAACGTTCTAGATTATAGAAAAAGATCCTCCAACAGGTTTAAGGTTCTAGTTGGACTAAAACTGTAGATCTTTTAGAACTTTCTGCTCATATGAAATGTTCTGCAGGAGGTGTTTTGGTTTAAGGTTCTGGGTTTGGTCTGAGGATCCAGGTGTGGAACGTTCTGAAGAAGGTTAAAGTTTTCAGAACTCATGTCAAAGGTTCTGTACCTGGTATGAGGTCTTGGATCAGGGGTTCTAGCTTCTGTTCTAAAGTTCCTTCTCAGATCAGATGTTCCTCAGACTGAGTTCTGTCTTTGGTTCTGGTCCAGGCAGCCAAAGAACTGGTGCTGGAAGTGATCCGAGAGAAGGACGGAGACTTCCGGTCCGGTCGCAGCGACTTCGGAGGCCGACTGGGAGGAACCAACCTGGATGTGAGACGCTGACGAACACGTCATGTTCTCTACAGGTGTCAGAACCGCTGACCCGGGTCCAATCCCATCTGTTCTCAGGTTCCGGTTCCCAGGTTTGCTGTCGGAATCGTGATAGGCAGAAATGGAGAAATGATCAAGAAGATTCAAAATGACGCCGGAGTCCGAATCCAGTTTAAAACAGGTCTGTGACCCAGTTTGTTTTTCTGTTTACAAACCAGCTGAACACGAGCTAAAACTAGCTGAGAACAAACTAAAACCAGCTGTAGACAAGTTAAAATTAGCTGGGAACGAGCTGAAGCTAGCTCTAAACCAGCTAAACCCAGCAGAGCACAAACTAAAATTAGCACAACATGAGCTAAAAACAGCTGAGAACAAACTAAAAACAGCTGTAGACGAGCTAAACTCAGCACAGATTGAGCTAAAACCAGCTGAACATGAGCTAAAACCAGCTGAACATGAGCTAAAACCAGCTGAACATGAACTAAAACCAGCTGAATACGAGCTAAACCCAGCAGAGCACCAGCTAAAATTAGCTGAAAATGAGCTAAAACTAGCTGTAGACCAGCTAAACTCAGCAGAGATTGAGCTAAAATTAGCACAACACGAGTTAAAACCAGCTGTAGATGAGCTAAAGACAGCAGAGCATTAGCTAAACCCAGCTGTAGATGAGCTAAAATTAGCTGAGAACAAGCTAAAGCTAGCTCTAGACCAGCTAAACCCAGCAGATATGAGTAAATATCACTTTAGCAGTAAAGCTAAAACTATCACATCATGAGCCAACTCTTCCAGAACCGTTTCTAAAAGCTAAAACAGAAAAACAAAAGCAGTAATCTTAAAATTAACAAAACGGTAGTAATACAGTAGCTAAAGCTGAAACAGCTAAAATCTAAAAGCAGTTTTTTCTTGTTCTCAAACAATAATAAACCTAAAATAAAATTATTAACTAGATTTTTGTTGGTTTACGTTTTAAAAACAAAGATTTTTTGACATCAGTAAATCCAGTTTATATTTGGATTCAAACCGGTTCAGTCCGGTTTTAACGCTCTGACTCCGCCTCCTCCTCCAGATGACGGCATCAGTCCGGAGCGCGTTGCCATGGTGATGGGTCAGCCAGAGCGCTGTCAGCACGCCGTCCATCTCATCAACGAGCTCATCCAGACCGCTCAGGTACCCTTCGCCTCACCTTCGGGTTCTGGTCCGGACCTCAGAACCACCCTCACCCCGCCCCCCCGACCTGTCTGTGTGTTCCGACAGGAGCGCGACGGCTTCAGCTCGGCCCTGCGCGGCGGCCGGGTCAGAGGTCGCAGCGACTGGACCATGGGCTCGCCCAGTCCTCTACAGGAAGTGACCTACACCATCCCCGCTGACAAGTGTGGCCTGGTCATCGGCAAAGGTAGGAGGCTGGACCCGGTCCGGTTCGCTGGATCCACCCGATCCTTCGACTGCTGGAGAAAAACTGAATCAAATAAAAAGCAACGAGTCAGAGGATGAGAGCTCCATCAGATGTTTTTATTCTATTTAAAAAGACCTTAAAAACCCATTAACCATTCAGCTGTGTGTGTGTGTGTGTGTGTGTGTGTGTGTGTGTGTGTGTGTGTGTGTGTGTGTGTG